AACTAACTACGCACAGAAATGGAAACACTTGGATTACAATACAACAACGTGATTATAATTTTACAAAAATACTATTAAAACTACTGTAATTCGATCGACTGAATTGTTTTTAAATGGGAGCGTGAATTTATATCGAGAAAGATGTCTTAAATATTATATTTAATTCTTTTTCACTCTTAGATGAATGGTAATAATGACGAATGATGGAGATCGCGGAGACGTTTTGCACCTTTTGCATCTTTATTCCGTTGCTGTATTGCTGTTTATTGTATTGTCACTACGACAACCATTCTTGTTAGATTCCGGATATCCAATTCAATTGCTCTTGACTAATTTTAACATAGTAACTACTACTTTTGTTCATGTACCTACTATATGATGTTATTGATATCTTTAAACTTACTGCTTTGTGCTTTAATATTATTATTACTACTACTACGTAAAATAAGACGTTTTATCAGTTGCGCAATAATCATACACGTAGTTTTTTCTAAAACTATTTCTCTAATGGGACGCCGCTTGACCTGCGCAAATGGGTTCTATGTCTACAATAAATTAGTAGAATGTAGCGAGAGCCAGAAGATTGGACAATAAATGATGTTTAGGTAAGAACAAGTGATCTATATGTTAGATGACTTATAGATTAAGTCAGACTTAAGTGACCGATAGATTAGATGAGAGGCTAGGAAAACAAATTCCACACGGATTGACCTGGACTTGAATCCCGGTCCCCTGCGGTGGATTGTGAGGGATAGAAGTAAAGTTCTAAACTTATTCTGACGAGAATTGCAAATTGAAATGGCTGCTCCTTTACACCTCGTAAGGAACAATCATTTACCACACACGTACTTTATTTTTTGTATTATTATTTCAGTAATGTTTCTCAAGGTCTTAGCCTTGTCTGCTTCTTTTGTCTATACGAGTCCTTAGACTACTTATTTAAAATAGTAGGCGGGCTATCGTCACCCCGAATCTTGTGCATCTTTATCATGTTATTTCAGTGATATTTCTGAGTGTTTTTAATTTAGCAAACAAATGAATAGCCCTATGCAAGTGGCGGACTGGGGGGTGGGGTGGAGAGCACGGGAGACATGCTCCCTCTCAATGCCAGCATTTTTCGTAATTTCACTCAATATATTCAAAATAATTACATGATATCATCGCATCTAAAGCATTATTTTGCGCACAAAGTATTACCTTTTCCATGCTAACAATTAAAAAAAAACATTTCAAAAGTATTTGTGAGGGTCTGAACTAAAATTGATTTCCCCCCTCACACACACGCACACTCAACCACGCGCGCGCGAGCACTTACACACACACACACACACACACACACACACACACACACACACACACACACA